CTACGCGTCGACCTATTTAGTCCGACACAATCTGGAATACTCCCAACTGTCCGACCTGGTATGACATGACTTATGTACCCTCCTGAAAAAAGAGCCTGCTATGAGCTTGTGGCCTACGAAAGAACCAGAGCCCCTCATAATTATAAATTGAACTGATCGAAATGTTCAAATAATATAGGCTACGTTATATTATTACCTACAATGTGTTCCATTTAATACCTTAATACCATTATCTCCATAACTCCATAAAGTCTTATCAGTCTTATGGTATTTCCCATAGCTGTTCCAGACCATACACCTTGTAAATAGTGCCAAGGGGCGTCCGTCGTTCCCATTGGATGGACATTTACATAATGAAAGCTTGCCACACATGTGCGTATGACAAGTCATATTTAAGCCCGGTAACTTGTTTACTGGATCTCACCCAAGAAAAATTGACATTTACGAACCAGATCTGGAAGCCCGAACTATTATCTATGCAAAGTTGTCCCTTTGGGGAGTTTGACGAAGATCCCAATTGTTTGGTCAGTGTCCTGGCGAGTACGCTTCTTCAAGGCCTCTCTCACGCACATACTACGTAGCTCTATTTGTTTTGTAAGAATAAGCTTTACGTTGTTTTTAACATAGTTCTAAGGAATGTGGGATGAGGAGGCTAAGAGCTTACAAAAATCACTTTGTTTTTCTGGTTCACTCCGAGCGTGTTATCCCCATGGAGTTGATTTATAAATAAAACGAGGCTGACGTCTATCCTCATTGCACAACACCTACTTGTTTAGCATGGTTCTACCAGTGTGTCCGTCTGTTTACCTGCAGTCTGTATGCTGCCTGTTTCTATGTATATCTAAATGTCTACTGTAGATTCAGTCTTTGAGCTATTTGTTTTTTAGTTGTTGTTTTGTTTTTTGTAAGTGTTTTACGGTGCTGGCAACTGCATAAGGTCATATGAGCTCTCGGGACTCGTTCAACATTTTTGTTGTTAAGAAATTTTGAATTTTGCCCTTGTGGCGGCCGAAGCCTACTCTTATCGATTTTGGATTACCAAGTGATCTTTAACGCTCGCAACTTGCACTTGGTACCTCCGAGATTTTTCGCCTTTGTCGGAGGAGGCTAGGAGTAGATTTTCCAACCGGATTCGAACACACGACCTATTGAATGAGAGGCAAACACCTTAACCTCGAGACCACGAGAGCCCCAAGCTATCTATCTATTTGTCTATCTACTACTGTATATTCAGCCTGTAAGCCATTTGTTTATATTATGTCTGCCTACACACCAATACAAAAGTCTCTGTTGATCTACTGTGCTTTAATATTTGCACTGGCATCGGATGGACTTTTATTATTTAATTGTTATTCACTAATATGTTTTGTCTTTATAGCCCCCATGCTAGACATTTCAACTTTTTTTTTTTCCCTTTTGCTTGGGGCGGCGTTGGGGGGAAACTGGAGTGCCGTAAAACACTTACTAAGACTAAACTAAAACTCATGTACGCAGACATAGGTATCGCGACCTGCCACCCTGTGTTGTTGGTATTCATTCCCGTAATGAGTCTTGAGGCGTTTTATGATGTTGTTGGTGCCGTTCTCCTGGTGCCCATTATGTCACTGTATAACGAGGTGCGGATATGGCAGGGTCGTGTAGGGACAAAGTGTTTACGGGGGAGACTTTGAACAATAGCCAGAAAGAAAAAAAGAGTGTGCTCCTGTACGCTGACAAAACACCTTTGTCTTCTTCACAGCAGTTTCGAGAAATCAACGATCTTCCGCTTTTTAAAAATAATTAACTTTTCTTCACAGCACATCGACGGTTGATCTCGCACCCTGAAGAGAATGTCATCCTCTATACTCAACAGAAATTATAAGAAAACTGAAAAAAGTGGATTTCTCGAAACTTGCTGTGAAGAAGAAAATGGCGTTTTGTCAGCGCACAACAGTGTGTGCGTTGTCACCTTCTTGACTCTATACTATTGTTGTTTTTGGCTTATTAAAATCTAATTTCTCAATTATAGTGCGGTCAAAAAGTCGTGGTACAACGTATCCTGAAATATCTCTTTAACGGGTGAATCAATGTTATCCATACTTTGGACAGCAGTTTCTGTAGATTTGTCTTAACTAATTCATATTTTCCTGAACAACTGGGGCTAGATTAGAAAATCTTTTCTTCATAAATTTATATAAAATACTCGGCATCTCTATCTCACGTAAAATGGTACACGTATTGTTGACAGCACTTCCCGCTTCTCACACTCATTTTGATTACGCATATGGCCTACGTCACAGTTCATTAATGACAATTTTTACTTGCAAAGCTTGTTACGAGAAATTATTGTTACAAGTGAACACCTTTTTTGTCCTAATGGCTCCCAAAACATGCGTTCAATAAGCATAATGTCCCGATTAGAAAAACCTGATGGACTTGCTATTAAAATCAATATTTCCCCAGCTGTAAACATTTAAAAATCTGTAGAAACCACCCACTTGGATTTTTTATGAGTATTTATTCAGAAATTTTCTAGAATACAGCTTGCAGGTGTTTGCAAAAATGTTGGTCTGTTGAGACAAATTGATACTCTGTGCCAAAATTGGAGAACCGATGTTGGATAGTTCAGGTGAGATTTGAAAATAAGTCGCACCACGAATTTTTGACCGCACTATTATATGTGAGGCAGCGTAGTGGAATCAGGCTCTCGTCAAAATACTCAAAGTGAAGAAACTTGCATTTTTCCGCAGATTTGTGATTTTTTATTAAATTTTTGTTTTTTGGCTCAACGCCTTTCATGCTCATTAAAGAACTCATTTCTATGTGGATTTTTCTGAAAAACATTGATTAAAGGCACAAAAAAGTAAATTTTTAGTTACCACGGACTCTTAAGCTAAGGAAATAACTAATCTTTGGCGGCCATTTTCTCACTAATTCTATCTCTGAAAACAGGTGACCCCAGCTCCTTCAATTGCAAATATCTCGACTTATATTCAAGATAAATGGATATTTTTAAAATCCAAATAAAGACAAGTGAAAAAGCTTTAAGATGATACCAATAACTCTACATGCCCAAAAATTGACGAGAGCCTGATTCCACCACGCTGCCTCACATATAGTATATCCCTTACTTCTTCGCTCGTTCCTGTACCACTATAATTGTTTTTGCCAAGCCCGTTCTGTTAAGATTGGTTTATAGTACATGTATACAAAAATATTGTTGACTCACGGTTTCTTATCCTTTTACCAATCAGCTTAGTTATTGTTGCTTATGTTGTTAGTAAACATGAATTTGTCATCTTAAGCTTGTTGTGCACTGTTCATAGCTGTAGAATAATGGAGAATAGTGTTTAGATTTTTTTTTTCATTTACGTTAACTTTAAGAAGGCTGTGGTTTGCTATGGTTAAAAGCAGCTTAGATCTCCCACTAATGAATCCACTATAGCTCACCCCACACTCCACCCCCACCCTTACCTCCTCCCACACCTCCACCCCCACTCCACCTCCACCCAACACCATCCCTCAACGCCACCCCTACCCCTACCCCCACCTCCCTACCCCCACTATCCCATTTTTCGTGACGGAGATTTGTAGTGTTTTGTACAAATGTATCAAGAAAGTTTTTGAAAAACAATCTAGCCTCAGTTGTTATGGGAAAATATGCTTAATTACGCAAAGACAATTTGATACAAATTGCTGTGCAAGGTATGAGCTACATTGATTCTCCCGTTAAAGAGATATTTTAAGATAAGTTGCGCCACGAATTTTTGACCAGACGAAAGTTTAAAATTACTCCTTTTTCGGTAGGGAAAGAAAACCCCAACTGCTTTTAGTTTACGTCATTTTCTTTTTCGTTCCCGACATGATCCTGAGCAGGAGGAAATGAGACCATGGTGAGCCATTAGCAAAGCAGATGAAACCAGTCCAAGTTCTTCTTGGTTTACGAGAGTGTTGACAGTTTGTTAGGGAGGACGTGATCAGGGAGATATCTAACAAAGCTCAAGTCACCAACCTCACGGGCTTGTACCCAGAACACGGAAGATGGAGATAAAAGAAGATAGGAAGACTGAGAGAAAGAGAGAATGTCGTATAACTAACCTGTGTGTTTGGGTGTGTGTGTTTGGGTGTGTGTGTGTGTGTGTGTGTGTGTGTGTGTGTGTGTGTGTGTGTGTGTGTGTGTGTGTTTGTATCATTATATACATATACACGCCTCACGCAATCATGTGTACACACATACGCACACACACAGACACACATACATACATTCACACAAACGCACACTCACATGACAAAACATTATTTATGTATAAAAATAGTAACAATGTTTAAAAAAAAAAAATTCTGTTAGTTCTTTTTTGCTCAGAAGATATCCGTTTCCCCATTGCAGCAAAAGTGCAACACTGGAACATTGCAATGCCCCTTGAAAGGGTAAACAATGAACAGGCCGAAAAGATACGGCCATAAAAAGATCTCCAAAATAACAGCCAGTTTAACATCTGTTTCATTCCCACATCTGTTTCATCCCAACTTGGCACAGAAAACACTTGCAAAAAGATACTTGGCGGGAAATCAAAGAAACAGGCCAGGTATTTTTAGTTAACGGTTACGTGTCTGTTGTCCATTTTAAGCTATTGCCAGTTAGGTAGCCCTGGCAATAAAGGGTGACAATTAAACGGACTTCCGGGGAAATCAATTATGGCGCGCAGAGACCTGGAAACGGAATACGGTAACATGGGAACGTAAGAATACGGGTAATGGAAGGTGACTGTCCGATGTAAAGAGCGAAGACTGACTCATACATTGAGGGAGGGAGAGGGGGAGGAGGGATAGATAGATAGATAGATAGATAGATAGATAGATAGATAGATAGATAGATAGATAGAAGGGGGGAGAGAGAGCAGAAAGAGAGAGAGAGAGAGAGACGGACAGACAGAAAGAGAGAGAGACAGAGAGAGAGGGAAAGAGAGAGAGAGAGAGAGAGAGAGAGAGAGAGAGAGAGAGAGGGAGAGAGAGAGAAGAATACCTTTTGGTGTGCACTCCAGAGCGCTCTCCAGAAAGGATACATGGCCAGAAAGGATACATGGCCAGCAAGGTAAAACGCAATGACTCCAGACGCACGCACTCAAAGCTTTAAGCAGCTGTGAGCCGCGGTTCACCACAACGCACTCTAGCTCACCAACTTCGTGTGAGCGAGGGGAGGTGGGTACAAATGAGAGGGGGAGGGTAGGGAGAGGGGGACTGTGTGGAGGGACGATCGTAGCGGAATGATGCGGAAACCATAACAGAGAATCACAGAGACCCATGGGCGGGCATTCTCGTACTTGCTGGAAACGAGATTCCAGTCCAGAGAACTTTTTACTATAGCAAGGATGTGATTTGTTGAGGATAATGTTTGTATCCACCAAGCCAGGATTATGAAACAATGTGATCTGGATTACGTAAAACATTTTCTGAAAGTGGTTTGTTTGCAGATTGGTGAATTTTTATGTCTTTTTTATTGACTTCGGGTGAGATTTCTTAGTGTTTCTGATTTGAAAATAATTTTATTAATTTTAATCACCGTTTTAGTCGAAGAAAATTTTTAAAGATTACTTAGGTGTGAGCTTATTTATTTTTAATTAATCTTTTTAAAAACTTCGTTGGTTGAAATCAATGTGGGTACTGCATGTATTTATTATATATGTTGTGGCATATTCTATTAAACAGAACGATTTTTCCAGTTGCTGTTTTGTGATAGTCATTCGTAATTGCCATTGACTATGTTTAATGTCGTTTTCAACATGGTCAAGTTATTTAAGTGGCGGGACCTCAAAATGTAACGTCCATCTCGGATAAAACGGAGCCAAATTGGGTGGAGAGTCTTTAACCCCCCCCTCCCCCCCCCCCAAAAAAAAAGCCAAACCCAAGCACAAATTGCCGTGTTGAGGATCAGCCCCCTCATCTGGGCTTTCTGCATCCTCTCTATCGCTTCTCCTTTGCTTCTTTTTGATGTCTTTCGGCCATACCCATTGTCTTCGTGTGGTAAGATCTAACACTTAGCATCCTTGGATATGGGCAAAACATCTCGGAGGTCCCGTGTGCAAGCGGCAGGGGTAGGCTTCGGTTGCCCCCCGTCAAACTTCAATATAAAATAAATTCCTACCAAAATGAAAATGGTTAATATGTCCCGCGCGCTCATATGGCCGTTTGCAGTTGCAAGAGCGGTAAAATACTTACCAAAAGAACCAACAACATTAAAAGGGACCAGAACCAGAGCCATCCGCTCCATAGTCCAGCCTGATATACTGAGCTAAGCTGACAGTGTGCCGGGGTTGTCATAAACTGTAATTCCCAGAATTTGCACATTTTTCGCTAATGCATTTGGGGGCTTATTCTTCTTTTCCGGAATAGTTCAAAGGAATATGATTGTAAATAATTTGTAGTATTGCCTTAAAAAGTCTGAGCATTTAAACACTAGCATTTTGGGCAACAAATCAGTGATAAAAAAACAACAAAAAACCTACTATTATTTCGTTCTCTTATTGCTTTTTCGGTTATAGTAGTTGTTATTGCTTTTGTTGTCTTTGCTTAAGTTGGTGAAGAAGTGTTGCTGTTGTCGCTGTTGTTGCCCTTGTTGTTACAGTTGCTGTTGCTGTTGTTGTTTTTGTTGCTGTTGTTGTTTTTGTTTTTGTTTTTGTGGTTGTTGTTGTTGCTGTTTTATTTTGGTTGTTGCTGCTATTGTTGTTGTTATTGTTATTGATGCTGCTGCTGAATTGATGTTTTTGTTCCTGTTGTTGTTGTTGTTGTTGTTGTTGTTGTTGTTGTTGTTGTTGTTGTTCCTATTCATGTTCCTGCTGTTGTTGTTTTTTGCTGTCGTTGTTGCTGTTGTTGTTGTTGTTGTTGTTGTTGTTAATGTTGTTGTTGTTGTTGTTGTTGTTGTTGTTGTTGTCGTTGTTGCTGTTGTTGTTGTTGTTGTTGTTGTTGTTGTTAATGTTGTTGTTGTTGTTGTTGTTGTTGTTATATGAGTGATGATATCAACATCGATAAAACAAGACTACGAACAAGTCCCCATTCGCTCGCGCTGGAATCCACAACGGTCGAGATAAATTCTTATGTCACCTGACGCGTGTCTGGGCCCTGCGAGGGTTAATCAGCTTTGTATACAAAGCGCATCTGTGTTGTTGAGGAACGGATCTTGTCAGTTTTGTTAGTGTTTGAACGCTTAATCTGCTACTGGCAATGTATGCTTCCAGGAAGCCTAGAGTCTGTTAGAATTATCTTGGGTCTGCTGGGATAATGACAATTGAAAAATGTACATAGTATGCTGCTGAGCATGTATATGCGCTATATAAATGTGAGGTAGCGTGGTGGAATCAGGCTCTCGACAATTTTTGAGCATGTAGAGTTATTGATATAATCTTATAGCTTGTTCACTTGTCTTTATTTGGATGAATAAAATATCCATTTATCTTGAATACAAGTCGAGATATTTGTGAATGAAGGAGGTGGGGATCACCTGTTTTCAGAGGTAAAATTAGTGAGAAAATGGTTGCCAAAGATTAGTTATTTCCTTAGCTTAAGAGTCCGTGGTAACTAAAAATGTATATTTTTTGTGCCTTTAATCCACGTTTTTCAGAAAAATCTACAGAAATAATAATATGCGTTCTTTAATGGACATGAACGAAGTTGAGCCAAAAAAGAAAAAATTGATAAAAATTCACAAACCTGCGAAAAAAAATGCAAGTTTCTTCACTTTGGTTATTTTGACGAGAGCCTGATTCCACCACGCTGCCTCACAAATGCAATAATTGTCATTATTATTAATGAGGGTACAACAATCATTCAAACAAAAACAAAAAGACAAAACAACAACAAAAAAGTTAAAATAAAGGTAACAACTCCATCCCCCCCCACCCTTTCCCCTTCGAAAAAAGAGGGAAAACGAAAAAAAATCAACAAAATAAGCCGGAGACATGATTCAGACCAAACCAAATAACAAAGCTATGCATTCCGTTTCTATTGTGTTTGTTTTCTGTGTGCGTAAACGCGTAGTGTAAGAATTTACCAGAAATTAAGTGACTAGATTTCACTGTTTGTTCGAAAAAGATGTTTTCGTGCTTGGTTATTACTTTTTCATGCCACAGTTGTAGCATTTCAAACGATGCAAAGTTCACAGAAACAATCCTGAAACGAACAAGTAAACGAATCAAAACAAGAAATAACCACGGACTACTCGTTACAAAATACAGTTGAACCTGCCCTGAGGACCACCTCTATAAGACGGCCACCTGTGCAAACGGCCACTTTCCATTTCCCCCCTTGCGTTTTTTCTATAAAATTTAACTGTGTAAAACGGGCACCCGTCCAACGCGGCCGCGTCCGCGGCCACCATACTTTAACACACAACCCCTATCACGCTGAGCAATAACACCTGTCTTAGACGGCCACCTTAGTGACTCCATTACGTTTTGTCATAAATTGTGCATTGACCCCTGGTGTTGTGAGCTAGCCGTCATAATTCAATCACCTGTCGTTGTTGTTAGGTAGTCCCTCCAACCGATCTTGTCGCGTAGGCCCCTCCCACTGTTGACCAATAGGTACCAATTTTCAGCTGCAGTTGAGGTAAGCGTGTGATCCCTCATAACCCGTAAGCCCCGCCCAGAACTCATACACAAATCGTAAGTGAAATCAGTGGTCACTGTTTACCCAATCTGTAACAAAGTAACAATGGACGTCAACATGGACTTGTGACAGATGCGTCGCTCGTTCTCCGAGTGGTGGCAACCCATGTGTCAGTTCTAACATGGCACTTGGTCTTCCTCGTCTTATACATTTCGTATTATTGTCACTCTGGGGCAAAATCAGCAACAAAATAAAGATAACAAACACAAATCAAACCAACAACACAAGCAACAACAATGCGGCTACTTTCGATTGGGACTTCAGATGGGAATGGTTTGTTTTCTTCATCTTGATCAGTCCTGCCTAAGACTGCCACATGTGGCCACTTTTCTCCTTGGCAATATGTGACCGTCTTACACAGGTAGATAGATATCCAAGTTAAACAAAATATTGTTATCTATATCTACATCATATTTAGATAAACAATCCTTTCACGAAATGGTCTAGGTCTGTAACTTTGCAGTTTAATTAAGACTTGCGACCTCTGGCTTTAACGTCCATCTCCTGTAGAAACGGGTCGGGAAAATCCTGCAGGGCTAAGTGCTTATCCCAAGGACGCAACATCGGACTGACCGAGCCGAGTCTCGTAAACCCGAACCCGTAATCTCACGATTCCGAGTCTGGTAGCCTCTGTCCCCACCCTAGGCTAGTGTAAATAATCTATGATAATTATATTACAATTCGTATTATGAAGGGAAAAAAATGAGTCGAAAACCAAATATTCTATTCTTGAGTTCCCCCCCCCCCACCTCCCCCACCCAACCCAAATAGAAAAAAAAATGAATGAATGAACTGTATGAATGAAGACGAGGGAGTGCATCGGGTGAACAACCAATGAGAAGAACAAGGCTAAATAATGACGCCGAACTGAGAATAGACTCACGAGATTGTCTCCCTTGTTCTCTGTCCAAAAAGATGGATAAGGGGACACGACTCGAGGTGCCAAATTAGCTGGCAGACGTGAACGATCGCCCGAGTTGACGCATCTGAGAGGCTGGTCATTCCAGTGCCTTTACGCGTGATTTATCGGGTCCTTTCTCGACACCGAGGCCACACAATGTTTGAGCATTGCTCTCTATACATGTACTTTTATTTTAACTTTTTCATCCTCTGTTGTCGCTAGACGTCGAGGGGAGATGCAATTGTCTGTGGTAGGCCAGCTCTGCAGCTCTTTCAATTGGGATATCTATCTATCTATCTATCTATCTATCTATCTATCTATCTATCTATCTATCTATCTATCTATCTATCTATCTATCTATCTATCTATCTATCCGTCTGTCCTTCCTTCCAATTCTTGTCTGTCTGTCTGTCTGTCTGTCTGTCTGTCTGTCTGTCTGTCTGTCTGTCTGTCTGTCTGTCTGTCTGTCTGTCTGTCTGTCTGTCTGTCTGTGTCGCTCTGTTTCTCCAGTCAAGGAAGGTCTGTTTGGTTGTTCATCTTCCGAAATGTTTGTTGTATGCTCTTTCTGTCTGCCTACAAAGATCAACGGAAACGTTACTGGAACATCCTAACCGGACTCAGCTACCTGTGAATGCCTGGAAGTTTCCCCATTCCTGTCTCACGGTGCAAAAATCAATCATCGTCTAGGCTGGAAAATCTAACCATTTGCCATCTGGTTTGGTGGCTAGTCGGACATCTTCACGGAGATCAAAGAGTTTAGCGGACCTCAAGAATCCATTCTGTCAGTCGAGGCGTTAATAAAACCGTCAACAGAAAATCATCGTACCCAAACTAATGTAAAATATGTGTATGTGGCTTTTTTTAATTTTCATGCAATATTTAGCAGATGCTTCCGGATAACATGAAACAAGAAAAGAAAAAACTACAAAAAAGAATTAATCAATA